GGTGTTGGAGAAGGATGGAGAAGATCAGTTGGACCGATTATGTGAGAAATGAAGAAGTGTTAATTAGAGTCAGTGAGCAGAGGAATATCCTACACGAAATAAGAAAACGGAAGGCTAATTGGATTGGTCATGTTTTACGAAGAAACTGCCTTCTAAAAGAAGTTATTGAAGGAAAGATAGAGGGGCGGATAGAAGTGACCAGAAGATGAGGAAGAAGACGTAAGAAGATGCTGGATGACCTTGGGGACAGAAGAGGATACTGTCATTTGAAGGAGAAAGCTCTAGATCACATTAAGTGGAGGAATTGTTTTGGAAGAGACTGTGGACCTGTCGTCTGACAGATTACTGATGATGATGAAAGGATCAAAACACTTACAGAGCAAGAGAGGAAGAGAATAATTGTGCTGAACCAGTCAAGTATGGAAGGCTAGGATTGGGGTGGGAGATTCAGGCATTAAGAGAAGTAATATGAATAAGTAAAATTATGCTGGAAAAATATGACACAGCAATAATACACCAAATTCACAAGAACTGTGATAAATTAGACGGAGACAACTGTAGAGCAACATCAAATGTTAAGTTATAAAATTTTACTAATACCTTACATGTATTTTTTTAGAGGACACAGTATGGTTGTATAATTATTTAATGATTAATGATTTTAATGATTTAATGATCAGTTGTTTCCAGTAAGACTGGTAATGGAGAAGGCCTGTGAATTTGGTCCTGATTTACATTTACTGTGCATTAACTTAAAGCAAGTTTATGATTCAATGGATGCAGAATATATTCTGAATCAAGGTAACATGGAATTGCTAAGATGTTGGTTAATCTTTCAAAATGACTCTTACAGACTTTATCTGCAAAATTTAAAATTCAAGGACAACTGTCAAACAGGTGAAACGGGAACTCACACAAGGGAATGCTTTGTCCACAATTCTCTTTAATACTGGTGATTTCTGGCTTCTGGGATATAATGTCCTGTAGTCTGCTGAAAGTCAACTAATGTTTCAGGGGAATTTGTAACCTCCGTCTTCAGGGTCAAAGAATAAGCCAAGCAAGAAACCAACATGAAGGAGGTAGCAAGCAACTGGTTCTTGCCTGGCTTTCTCTTTGAACCTGAACACATAGAGTACACTTCTCTGCAACATCAGTGAACTTCCACAGAACTACACAGCATTACATGACAGAAGGGCGTACTCCTCAGATGTTTTGATTACATTTTGATCATACAACACAGCTTTGATCTTTACCTGTAACTTGAGGTTTTCCGATTTCAGTTGTCATAGCACTTCGTGTCTGAAGCAAAGGAGACTGTGGTGGACGAGATGTTACAATGGGTTGCTGAATAATGCTAGCGGCAGCACTAGCAACAGTGTTGGCAGTTGTAGCAGTAGCTGGAGACTGAACTGGAGTTGTTCTAAGCGAAGTACCTAAACTTGACACAGGCGATACCTAAAACAAAAATAAAAGAAATATTTCTTTCAATGAGAACAGGCAAAGGTACCCTTTGGAATGGCAATAATATGGTGTATTTTGCTTAAATTCCTTTCTACTAGGAATAAGATATGTACTGTAAAGTGAGCAGATATTTTCTAGAAGGTAATGCAGTTACATAAGCCTCAACAACGCTTTCAACGGTGAGCAATCCCTAGGCAGTGATGCCTAGAAAATCGTTGCCCCAGAGATGAAAGTCAACAGTGGGGTTTCCACCGTTATTTGTAATGAAATGTATTCCCGTAGCAACAAGAGAGTCATTGTATAGCAGCGGGCGAAATTAACCCTTCAACAAGGTGTTCCCTATCCAGCCCGAGTGCAGGATATAATAGTTCGTATCCGACAAGAGACCAGTTGAGATCATATCTGACAAGAGACCAGTCGAGTTCATATCCGATGACAGCTAAGGACAGTTGAGCTCCAAGCAGAGCAGAAGACACTTCACCGAGAATAGCGGTGTGAGAGTGTATAACACGGAAGAGGAAACGTCCGACGACATTACATGTACGAATAGTGTTATCTGTGAGCGTAAAGAGTGATCATCCAATAAATACTCATCCAAATCCGAGACCCACATAAATTTTCTTGTCGCGTTACCTAGGAAATACGTGACAACTGGTGTCAGAAGTGGGATGGATAGGATTGGATTATAGGACGAATTATTGGATCACATTGAGTATTATACTGCTGCAGGAGGGAGTCACAGCAGATGGAACTCCTGCTGAAAGAAATGGGAGCCGGATAAGAACAAATGGTTTCGCTCGTTTCCTGGATAGAGGCCAACCAGAGAAGAACGGAGGCACATCTGAATGAAATAAGAGAAGAAATCTGCTCCATGTGGTCTGAGTTAAAGGACGGCCGAAAAGAGATGATGGCCTGCCAGGAAAAGATGGAGGCACATCTGGAAGAAGAGCCGACCTTTTCATTTCATCTGTAATCTGTCATATGACAGGTCCACAGTGGACACGAAAGCAGAGGTGGCACATCATGAGGTCCCTAAAGAAGACACCGCCGGTCAGAGGACCGAGGAAACAGCGTAGGGACCGAAATCTTGCTGCAGGATGCTGACAGAAACCATAGGAGATGACACGGGAAAAGTGCGGATCCTGTAAGAGATTGGCGGTCAGCCTCAGAGGGATGACCCACCGTGTGAAACTGGCATGGCAGAAGGAAAACGTGGTTGAGAGAAACTGCACCAGGGACAAGGTTGAGTGAGCAACCCAGAAATTAGGGTCGCTCAGAACAAGCCAGAAGGTCGTGGGTTCAAGTACCGATGAGGTCACTGGATTTTTTCAATTGACCTAATCCTTCCAGCCACACTATGGCCCTGGGGTTGACTCAGCCTCTAACAGAAATGAGTATCAGGAATTAATTAAATAATTTTCCTGGGGAGTAAAGCGCGGCCATTGCGTAAGGCTGACAACCTTACCGCCATCTTTGATCCGATTGTCTAGATAATGTGGGACCCTCAACGTCTCACAATCCTATGGGCCTTCATGGCCTGTTACAGGGATAGCTTTACTTTTACTTACTTTACAGGAAGAATCTATGGTCCCGTCAGAAAGGCGGCAGGGCAACAAAGAATCTAGGCGGCAAGTGGCCACTAGACTCGAAAAAGAAGAAGACAACCACAATCAGTACTGAAGGGTGGAGTTCAAGACAGCTATCACCTCTTGGAAGGAGAGGGTCAGCCTACAAGACACTCAAGAAGCCCCTAGAGCTGGAATTCATGAAGCGAGCAACTGGGATGTTCGGCAGGTTATGGAAGGTGAAAAACTCGATGCTGTGGAGGCTTTGGCACNGAGCGACGAAACAAGGACTGCAGTTTGTGGAGGGGTCGACCCCGCCAAAACGAAAAAAGAGGCAGGAAACAGAGGAGAAGCTGCTAATGTAGAAGCATTGGCCTCCCCAGCAAGAGTGAGAATGAGGAGAGAAAGGTAAAATTGTGGATGATGACGAGAACATGAAGTGACTGGAAGTCTACCACGGAGCTGCTCGGGACGAGCACCCTTGAAGGAGGGGGCGGATGTAGCGCTCAGAAGATGAACAGAACATCAGGAAGGAAGGACACTCAGAAATGAAAGAAAGGGAAGTACCGTTAGGCTATTCAGGACCGGATAACCCTAAGGAGGGAGCAATGTGACGTTCTGCCTGAAAGCTGGAGTATAAGACGTCCATCACTAGTCAACGGCCAGCAATTCCTAGGAAATCGTTGCCCTGGAGATGAAAGTCAACACTGGAGTTTCCACCCGTTATTTGTAATGAAATGTATTCCCATGGCAACAAGATATTCATTGTATAGCAGCGGGCGAAATTAACCCTTCGACAAGGTGTTCCCTATCCAGCCCAAGAGCAAGGTATAATATTTTGTATCCAACAAGAGACCAGCAGAGTTCGAATCTGACAAGAGACCAGTTGAGTTTGTATCCGACGAGAGCAAAGGACAGTTGAGCTCCAAGTAGAGCAGAAGACACTTCACTGAGAATAGCAGTGTGAGAGTGTATAACACGGAAGAGGAAACGTCCGAGGACGTTATAAGTGTGAATAGTTGTATTTGTGAGTGTAAAGAGTGATCGTCCAATAAATATTCGTCCAAACCCGAGACCCATGTAAATTTTCTTGTCGTGTTACCTAGGAAACACTTGACAATATATTTAAAATTTGTTACAGTTCAGTGAGTGTTAGAGTGTTATATGCACATCATGTAAGTCTTGCATAACACTGTTTTCTTTCAGGTGAATACTTGTGCCCACAAATGTTCATAGGTCATAAGTAACATGGACATTCAAACAAACTGAACTTACAAAGAGTACACCCATACAACAGAAATACCTAATACTAAATTCCACCAAAATATGTAAAAGGACTTGGAAGATATATATAAAATTTCATTTGGCCATTAAATAAAGTATGCCTTAAAACAAACCAAACTAAATGCGTTCAAAATGGCTAAGCAGAAGTTAGTGTAGTAGATCAAGTTTCACTGAAATGTGTAGTTTGGTTGCTGTTCTTCCATATGGACACAGAGACAGACAGATATACAAGACAAAACCAATAAATGCTTTTCAAAACACGCTTTTAAGGCATTTAAAAATGTATAGAAATAAGTGCAAAGTTAAAAATACACACATATTTCACAAGTAGTTTGAGCTATGTTATTCACAGATGGACAGACAGACATGACAAAATTATTATGTACCTTCCATATTTTTTCTTCAAAAAGCAACCAAAAACGGACAGAAAATCTTGTGTAAAATTAAATAAATACATGTATTTTTCTGTTAGCTACTGTCTGCAGATATCCAAGGAGAAATGGAACTGTTTCTGATCAGAAGCAAGTCAAGCGTGAAGAGTAAGCATCTGAAATGTTGGCAGAACTGAAATTCTCTGGGACCAGTCTTGTACTGCAGTGTGTATTCTTCTTTGATTATTTTTTTTTCTACTGGCCAAAGTGGTTTCTTCTAAGACTGTCAAAGTACAGAACATGATACTTTGTTGAATACAGTGTTCCAGTTTATGGGAAAAAAAGGCCACCATCTTCTGCATTGAAGAGCAAAGGAAGCAAGAAACAAGCATGAAGCAGTGTAGCCATACCACTGACATCACCAGCTTTATTTGTAATTAAGATTTTTTTATTATAGTAATTACGCATAGGATGTAGTAAGGAACATTGAAGGGTGACTTAGCCTGATTCTTGGTTTCAAGAATATGGTCTGCTTCACTTCTACGAAGACAAGGCAAGAAGCACCCAGCAGCATTTTCCAGGAAATTCAGTTCGAAAGTTGACCGGTGGGACCCTTTGGTAAAGTTATACTTGACAGGTTTTCAACCCTGTAAGTTAAAAGTGGGAAGGTCCGCGACCTATGCTACTGGTATAATTTTTCAAGCAGCTGTCAAAAAGTGTGTTAGGTCATCAAGGGTGAGAGTCCCCTGAAACAAGATGATGACTGGAGCAGTGAGAATTAGGGTATACTCCCAAAATTCAAATTGTTCCAATCAGCTGAAATTAGGGTAGTAACTTGGAGGTGCAGCTGTAGCTGTGAAAATTTCTTGCCTCAAAGCAGAGTGAGTCTGCTAAGGTAGTTGCTGAATAACTCTCCAAGGATACAGACGTAAAATTAGTGTCACTTCAAATTTGGTTCAAAAGTTTAAGTTAAAAACGAAATTATTTTTAAGTGCGTTACTGGAATAGTCGCTGAATAACTTTCCAAGGATACAGCCATAAAATTAGTGTGATTCCAAGTTTGATTTAAGTGTTTAAGAACCAATGTTATTGACCAAAATATTAAAAGCGCTCACTAAACAGTGATGGGTAGTGCCTAGCATAAGTAATACTTGTCTCCCCGCCAACTCGGGGCCTGGAAAATATTCACTCACTGAACACTCAGATAGCATAAAATCATCCACAGAATGCAGTACAACCAGGCATAACCTACAAGACATCACCAATTTTTGACAACATAAGATTAACCATCTCAGTATGATGCACTAGCATCAAAATGTGTAACATATAACACAAAATGATATAAGTGTAAACCATATATTTTTAAGAATATCAGCAATGCCCATACACAAATGAGCATGTCTATGGACAATGGCAAGCTGTCAAGTGATGCCTCCATCAGAATTTCCATCAACTTGTCACTGATGCAGAAAGGACGTTACATTATTATTATATATGTGACAACTAGTGATATACATACACTGTAGCATGTTCTTAATAAAAGCATAAAAAGAATAAACATAGTGATAGTTCATACTGTACAACAGGCTGATCTAGAATTAATGCTCTAGACTTGTATTCTGAAAGTGCTTGATTAAAATCTCAGTCTGGGCACCAGGCTAACCTCAATGAGGTTTCTCATAATATTGCTCAATCTTTCTGGGCAAATGATGGGATAGTTTCCTGATTAGGCCAGTGACATTTTCTTCCAAATTGTTTCCAATTCATCACTCATCCTACCACTGATGCTAAATAATCTACATGCTGACAGCTTCATACTAGGGTGAGAGAGAGAGAGAGAAAAGGAGGAGGAAGAAGAAGAAGAAGAAGAAAGAAAGAAAGAAAGAAAGAAAGAAAAAGAACAGCTCATATCTTCTGCTGTAAAATGATACTGTCACACTACATGTCATAAGTATACAGAACACCTAACGTACTTGAATAAGCACTCTCCAGTATCTTCAGTGTTGTGGTTTTGCAGAGAGCAGCATATGCTGATCTACATGTACTGTATTCTTACCATTATTCCAACGTGTCTTCATGCAATTCCTTCACTTACCACACTTGTTGGTGACTGTGGAACAGTCCTGGTCGCAGCAGGTTGCTGTAGGGGAGATTGTATAATTCCAGTTCCAGGATATGAATGACAAGGTAAAAGCTGGGGATGAGATGATGCTTCCATGTCCTTATTTTCTTCTGAATCACCAGCAGGAGGTGTAGTTCCCAAACCAGATATTTCCTCTGGGATTGCTTCACAACTGACCCTAGAGAGGAAAGATATAAATGCTGTAACAGCTCTGGCAGTACATTACATACATGTATACAGTGTGACATGTCAATCTGTTTCTAGGCAACGAGATGTTGAAAAAGTTACCACGAAGACAAACACTTGATAAACAGTCGATTGCTGAGTTGTGCAACAGTGAGCAGGGGTCACGTGAACTCTGCATTTGCACAAGTGACGTCAGATACACTGCCACCTAGCCCGTTGCTACGCAATGCTCAGTAAACACCCTTCCACACTAGGCTGTGATGTAGCACAACAGTGAAGCGAGTTGTGTTTTCCGCTTGTCTGATTAAAATTTTATAGGAAAAATGGAATTCCTAAGCAGTCAGTTGGAGTCAGAGTTGGAGCTAGTTATGAGAGAAGTACGCGAATGGAATACAGGAGGTCGGCCTGTGAGGGATGTAAAGGGTGACATATGATAGGGAGTGATAGCTAAGGAATCAGCACTGAAGACTTATTGCATGATTCCAAGACTTTATGTGTGCGTGCAACAGTGAATTGTGAGGTGTGTGTAAATCAGTGCAATTTGAATGTACGTAATTAAAAGAGTGTAACCAGGCTGCTAATAAATCCAATAATTTGAACTAGAACCTGTCATTTGTCATGTGTACTGTCCTACACATGCCAATATAAATTACATATCAACACCAAACTGTGGTAACATTATTCAGACCATTAAATATATCCCTAACAAAATTATGTGGCATAATAAAAGAATTACCCATTTAAGAATATTGTCACCAGAGAAACATTTTCAGAATTTTGGTGGAAAACTTCACAGGATCAGTCTGTATACAGATCCCAAAGGGTAAACAGGAGGATGATTTTAAAACACGTTTTAGATAAACAGGGTATGGAGATGTGAACTGGATTCAACATGTTCTAATGGTGGTCTTTTATAATGATGGTTATGAACCTTTGGATTCCAGAAAAGAAGGTTAGTTCTTGGCAACTTCTGTAACTGTCAACCTTACAAGGAAAGTACTATACTGTGGAGTTAATAATGATCAAGATGGAAGAATGAATCATAAATTAATATCTGCAGACATTCATACATATGCCATATAGTGAATCAACTAAGAAAACCAGTTAAGTGACAGTTACTGTGGTTTATTTATTCAACAATGCGATGACTTTTGAATATAGCACTCAATGAAATTTGATACTGGTGAGTTTTCATGGATGTGGAAAGATGAGGTCATGCCCTTCTGAGTGGAACCCCCATTTAATTTTTTTTTATTTCACTTAACTTTCAATGATCCCGAGTCAATAATCTAAGCATTAAATTACTGCCATTTCAGATTTTCCTTCACTTGGTGTTAAAATCCATTGCCCCCAAAAGAAACCTTACCTGTATGGTGGAAGCACACATTATGCAATGTGCACTAGTTCCTACCAGAGCTGCTGAATACTGCAACCACCAAAGAAGTCAAATGAAATCAAGAGAGATAAATCAATTTTTATATCCAATGACTGTAAGTGATCACTGTAGGCATGCAGGTGGGCCGGTGGATGGATGGATGGATGGACGGAGATAGACAGACAGACAGATAAATAGCACTAGAAGCATTTTACCTGGTTACCTGCAGAACAGCAATTAGAAGTTCATGAAAATTATTTCCATGAAATATGGTACATGTTAGTACATGACAGTGACAAAGAGGAGGATGGTTTTACACACATCAGAAGATCATTTCTTTCTTACTTACTTAGTAATGGAGCTGAGCCTTTCTTGAGGAGCCACCAATTCTGCAGCTACTCAAGAATTTCCCAGCATTTTATGGAACCTGAAAGTTCATTACCATGTTCACAAGGGTCCTCCACTGGTCCCTATCCTCAGCCAGAACAATCCAACCCATACCATTACATCCCACCTATGCCTTGGTCTTCCCAGTGGTCTCGTTCCTTCTGACTTTCCCACAAATATTCTATATGCATTCCTCGTCACCCTCATTCGTGCTACATGCCCTGTCCACCTCATCCTCCTTGACCTGATCAATCTAATTATACTTGGAGAAGAGTACAAGTTATGAAGCTCCTCATTATGCAGTTTTCTCCAACCTCCTGTCACTTCATCTCTCTTTGGTCCAAATATTCTCCTCAACACCCTCAGTCTATGTTCCTCCCTTAATGTCAGAGACCAAGTTTCACACCCATACAGAACCACAGGCAAAATTATAGTTTCATATATTCTAATTTTTATGTTTTTGGACAGCAGATGAGAAGACAAAAGGTTCTGGACTGAATGGCAGCAAGTATGACCCGAGTTCAATCTCCTCTTAAGTTCCTCCTGAATCAGGTTTTGATCTGTTATCGTTGTTCCCAAATAGCTGAATTGTGCCACATTTTCAAAACATCTGTTTTCTATCTTTATGTCATGATTTTGCCCTGCATTTTGGTGACGAGACAGCAACATATACTTAGCTTTCTCTGTGTTTACTTCTAGACCAACCTCTTTACTGGCATCAATTAAATTTTGTGTGTTTTTCTTTATGGTATTTTTATTATCACCCAGTAAATTCACATCATCCGCATAGACCAAGAGCTGATGTGTCCCATTTAATTTCAGTCCCACCTGGTTTTCCTGGACCTTCTTAATGGCATATTCTAAAGCAAAGTTGAAAAGGAGTGGCGATAAAGTATCTCCTTGTTTCAGACAACTCTGGATAGGAAATTTATCAGACAAATGTTTACCCATATTGACTTTACAATACGTTTCATTTAAACACATTTTTTTCAGTCTGACCAGTTTCATTGGTATCCCAAACTCTATCTAAATATTGTACAATTCTCCCCTCCTAACTGAATCATAAGCTTTCTTGAAGTCTATGAATGGCTGATATACTCTCTCATCGTACTCCCATTTTTCTCCCATATCTGATGAATGCAAAAGATCTGATCTGTAGTTGATCTGTTATGTCGAAACCCACACTGATGATCCCCAATAATTTCATCTATATATGGACTTAACCTTGAGAGAAGAATATTGGATAAAATTCTGAATGAAGTTGATAGCAGTGATATCCCCTGGTAATTACTGCAGTCAGTTTTATCCCCTTCTTGAGAACGGGTACAGTAATAGACTCCTTCCACTGATCAGGCAATTTTTCCTTATTCCAAATAGACGTAATTAGCTTATGGATCTTAGAACGTAATATTTCGCCTCCTGCTTGAATAAGTTCTGCCAGAATTTGATTACTACCTGGCAATTTACACCGTTTCAATTTTGCAACAGCACTTTCAACCTCAACATGGCTAGGATCAGGTACTAACGGCTCAGCTGTATGGATTTCTATCTGCCTAACATCACTGATCCTATGGACATTCAATAACTAAGAGAGGTAGTTCCTCCACCTATTCAGAATGTTGTGGGAATCTGCAAACACATCACCATTCTCATCCTTCACTAAGTTACTTCTAGGTTGGTAACACCTCTTAAAGTCATTTATTCTTATATACAGATCTCTAATGTTCTTGTTCTTACTGTTCATTGCAAGCTCATAAATTTTGTCTCTCACTTATTCCCTCTTTTTATTCCTGAGATGCCTGCTGGTTTCATGTCTTACTCGTATATTGTTCAGATTATCCCCATTTATTTCGCTTGGATTCTGTAACCATTGCAATTTGGCTTGTTTTCTTTGGTTTAATAATTTTGAGCATCCTTCAACGAAACATGGCTTATGCTTCTTTGGTTCTTAATAACCTACACTCTTCTTGGCAGAAATTTTGATATTATCTCTAATAGTTTCCAAAGCTTTATTAACATCCACCTCAGTGTCAAAGTTTCCAAAGCTGCGAACCTATATGAAATTTCAACACAATACTGCTCTTTACCCTCTACCTCATTTAATTTCTTGAGACTGAACCTATCCATATGAAATCTGGGTGTTGTCTGTTTGCTCACTGCCAGTCTTTACCTAACCTATGCCACCACCAGGTAGTGGTCAGTAGCACAATCTGCTCCCCTGAATGATCAGACATCAAGTATAATTAAATGTTGTCTCCTCCTATCTATCAAAATATGGTCGATTTGACTGCGTATCTTTGCATCAAGAGATGTCTAAGTAGATCTATGGATGTTACGATGTGGGAACATTGTACTTTTGAGAGTAAGATTTTTTGATGTGGCAAAGTTTACTACTCTAATTCCATTATCATTACTAATTTCATGCAGACTCTCATGCCCAATCGTTGGTTGGAAAATGTCTTCCCTCCCTACTTTGGCATTGAAACCTCCTAACAAAATTTTCTTAGGGTACTTCGGGAATTTATCAAATACATGTTCTAGTTCTTCATAGAACCTGTCCTTTATGTCATCAATTTTATCTTCTGTTGGGGCGTGAATATTCATGATGATGATATCACACCAGCGACCTTCTAGTATTATATATGATATCCTATCACCAACGAACTCTACCCTCTTAACTGCTGATACGATTCTCTTATGTATGAGAAAACCTGTACCTAATTCATGATTTTCATTCCCCTTTCCATAGGAAAATGTATATTCGCCTGCTGGTTCAATGCCACCTTCATTCCATCTGACCTCCTGTACTCCTGCTAAATCTAACTCTTGAAATTTCTTCTGCCAGTGCCCTGAGTGAACCTGCCCTCTACATACTTCTGGTGTTCCATGTACCGAATCTCATAATTTCTTTACTTACAAAAAACACCAGAGTGACAACAATAACCCTAAAACTAACTGCTATATAGAATAATAAATTTAACATTGCATGCCACAACTAAATGTGTTCTTCTGTGGCATATGACACAGGTGTCCCAAGAAACATACTCAGTGCTCCACACTGAAGGGTTAACAATGCCGTATCAACAGGAAGACTGTTTAGCACCGCTGAAATGAGAGGATGATTGTGGTAAACTAGAAGGCATTTGAGAAGGAAGTGTTCATGGTCTATTTCAAGAAATGATTCCAGCTTTCACTTGGAAGGAGAGAGAACGACCAGAAAAGATCCTTGGCCTCATCCAAACCAATGACTTCTCAAATATAAGTTAGCTGCATTACTGCTATTCCACATATGCTTAGAAGTGAAGAAAAGCAAAAAGAATGCTGAATATATATAGCAGATTTATGGGATGGTTTCTTTCAATTACCTTGGGTCCTTTGAGTAAGTCTGCTTGGTGGTTTTCTTATTCTCTGACAGCCCATCTGCTTTCCCTTCCACATCAGTCTGTCCATCTCTCTCCTGTTTTGCTTCTTTCTTTTCTTTGTCACGATTCAAGAATGGATTCTTCCAGTTCGCACTCATCTCTGGACTAGAGTTTGATCGCCGAACAGGGTTACGTAACTTGCCTGTTGAATCTGTCAAACAGCAAACTGTGCAGCATTGCCACTCTTTTGTGCACCTACTTCCACAGATACACTAAACTCCATTTTACAATATTTGCTTGCTTCAATCTGACATGTAACTTTTGTCTGTAAACTGTATACAAAAAGTCTCTGTTCAACTACCTCTTTTCCAGGCAAAAGCCAATTTCTTCTGTATCATAATTATGATACAGAATTATGAAACAAATACATTTTTCTTCATTTAACTTATCAGTCTTTTATTATAATAAAAGACTGATAAGTTAAATGAAGAAAAATGTAACAACAGTCAAGAACAAAAACGCAGGGTTTTGTTATAACAAAATACTAATACTATTTTTGAAAAGACTCAGAAATTAAGAGCAAAATTGATAACTGAGGATCATTATGAAATTAACACAAGAAACTGTGTTGGAAATAACAACAATGATTAAGATACCAACAAGATAAAAACAACGATTATAGTGACTGATCATAAGACATTACATTTGGACCTGGCAGAAAATACCTCAGCTTACCCCTATAGCCCATTTATTTTGCTAACATTGTAAAACTCTGTGGCAATATAGTTTAACACACTTCAAAATATATATATTTCAGGGATTTCTTTTTGTATATTGACTGCAATGTTATTTACTGATACTAAATAGTGATGATTGTCTACTGAGTAATAGAAACTAAATGAACAAATACGAAGTTCTATAGCATATCAAAAATTTTTATTATGGGTATAACTGTGTGTTAACAGTTTTGTAATATATGACAAAAAAAAACATGACTGGGGTACACCACCTTCAGTATCTGGTTCCTCATCATCAAAGATTGGATTTACTATTTCTGTACTCTCATGAGAACTTTGTCGTGATGGACTGCGCTTTGATGGAGATGCTGGGATCAGCGCTGGTACCATGTCAGAAATCACTGTACGCGAACTAGGTGACATGTCAACGTTCTCTTCAAAATGATGATCTAGAATAGCCTAAAAAATAAAGTAAAGAAACACTTGCATTATCTTTTTTCACACATTACTCTTCTATGTTCTTGAGTTTGTGAGAACCTAAGTTTAGGTTCATATAAGGACAGAACAATAAATGGTCTGTCGTCTGGTGCACAACACATCCTGGATAATCTGAATATATTGAGCAATGAAAAATATTAGCATCTTTGATGATAAATCATCAAAGGATGACTTGCATCTATAACACAAGAAAAACAGTACCCAGAATATGGCTGGGTCACCAAAGCATATTGTTGCATGTAGAACTGTTGCAAGACAACACCCATGCCAAAAGTATAGGAACAGTGTTTCCTATGTCTGCAGACGGACTGTTGCTATGAAACGCGTGCCACACATCAACAGTACTTGGAGAGGCATGTTGAGAGCCAAAGGAACTGAGTCAGGGAATTCATGGATCCCAGAAGAAGTTGGCTGCCACCTGCAGGAAGGTGTCCCACCATGCAATAGTTGCATGGTGCAAGAGGAAAGTCTTCACGAAATCTCGGACCGAGGGAAATTGTGGACATCAGCAGGAATTGGCCACCATGCAGGAGTGGCATGACACAAGGAAAACTTCATCAGGAAACATTTGACCAGGGACAATGTTGAGCAGGAAACCCGGAAAGGATGAACAGAGGAAAATAGATGCTTAAAAGGCCTGGAATGCAAAATGGGAATAAGGGACCCTACTATGAATGGCATCAAAGGGTGGGGATCAGTACAGCAATCACACCTGGGAAGTGGAGAAATGCTGAAGTAGACCAAATATGAAATTTTCAGAGGAAAGACTACGAAACATGTAGCTGGAACTTCCAGTGGGTTATGAAGAATGATGGACTGGACATTGTGGAGGGGTTGGCCACTTCCAAAGCAGAAAGAGAAACAGCATTTGTGTAAGAGGAGACAGATAAGTGTGAGCACTGGCCACTCCAGGAGTTATGGTTTAGCCTGTTTTGTGTGTGTGTGTGTGTGTGTGTGTGTGTGAGAGAGAGAGGGGGGGGGCAAGAAAACTAGATACACCTGGATATACTGGCGCCTTAACAGGGAACTGCTTGGGATGAACCAGCCTTAAGGAGGGAGCAATGAGTTATGTAGACTCGTTGCTAGACAATGCCTGCAACACCCATGTGGCCATCACTATAGGAACAGTGTTTTCTAAGTCTGCAAATGGACAATTGCTATGCAATGTGTGCACTATGATGTCACACACTGACAGTACGTGGCCATTTCATGACATATTTCCTGTGTATGTAGTGACATCACTAACAGTAGCGGGTAGCGATCATGTGACATGTGTTCACACTGATGTGTTGTCTGTACCTTGGCTATATAGGTGAGTGTCATAGTGCAGTTACGAGTTACGAGAGAGAAATAGTAGCGGCAGAATCATGAGAAGAGATCAAGTTGGAACTAGAAGTGACAGTGAGTGTGTGACACAGTCCTGAGTTCAGTGGAACCAGGAGTATAGAAGAATACAGGAGGTCGGCCTGTGAAGATTTAAAATGTGATTGGAAGATTCTATGTGTAATATTTGTAGTGACTTGAAGTGACAGTTTCTGTGTTGAGATCCATCGCTAGGAGACGACTAGTGGAAGACAGAAAATCCTAGTGCATGTGCAATGGTGAACTGGAAAGTGCTGTAAATCAGCAAAAGTGCTGTATAACCTGTATTTAAGTGTAATTAAGAGAGTGTGTGTAACCAAAGTGCTAATAAATCCAATCATTCAAACTAGAACCAGGCATTTTTGTTGTGCTTAACATCCTATATGTGACAATATTTTTGACTACTTCTTTCACCATTCAACATCATTCTACCTCACTCTTGAACTTTTAATTTGGTTCTTCCTCTACTGATATACTGTAAACATGCTTTCTCCCCTGCTAAAGCTACAGTTACAGCATATTATAATGTACATAGTATATCAGTGTAACCGCACCATGCAGGAACATCAGCAATGTTGTTCATTTACATTCTTAATTATACACTCAAGTGCCAAAAGTCATGGGATAGCAGTATGTAAATTTATTTTTAAGTGGCGCCACCGTCCCTTGACGGCTTGGGAATGCCCACAGCAGTATCACTTGTGAGGTGTTCTCTTGCGAGTCAGGTTGAACACCGGCTAGTCTGCTCATGGCAAGCCGACATGAATTGTCGGAGTTTGAATGGGGTATGATAGTGGGTGCCAGGTGGATGGGACATTTCATTTCTGAAGTTGTGAGGTCATTCAACATTCCTCGATCCACGGTATCATGTGTGTACCAGGAATACCTTACGGAAGGCATTTCCACCCACCGTGGACAGCGCAGTGGCCGACCACGAGTGCTTAATGATCGTGACTAGCGGCGTCTAGCTAGAATTGTCCATGGTAACAGACAAGCGACACTGACTGAAATCACATCCACATTCAATGCAGGAGGTACTGGATGCAGATCCAGCAGGTCAGTGCAGCGTTCTTTAGCTTCCATGGGATATGGGAGCAGAAGACTGACCAGAGCGCCTCTGTTAACACCACGACACCGGACACAGCACCTCACCTCACCTCACTGTGATGTCACTAATTGGACCCTGGAGGATTAGTATCATGTGGCGTTGTCCAATGAGTCATGGTACCAGTTGTTTCGAGCGGATGGTATGGTTTGGGTGTGGTGCAGACCCCATGAGGCCATACACCCCAGCTGTCAACAAGGCACTGTGCAGGCTGGTGGTGGTTCCATACTGGTGTGAGGTGTGTTCATATGGCATGAGTTGGGTCCGCTCATCCACCTAAACACGTTAGTGACTGGTGACAGCTACATTACACTGCTTGGTGACCATTTGCAGCTCTTCATGGACTTCATGTACCCCCCACAACGATGGGATATTCCAGCAGGGCAATGCACCATGTCATCGGGCCAGAGTTGTCCAGAATTTGCTCGAGGAGCATTCTGGAGAATTCCGACGAATGGTGTGGTCATCACGTTCGCCTGACATGAACCCAATCAAGCATTTATGGAACGTGGTTGAGAGGTCCAATCGCACCCGAAATCCTGTACCTACAAATGCAAGGGAACTGTGGGCAGCTATCCAGACAGCATGGCTCAACATCTCTCCAGAGGTCTTCTGTCCACTTGTGGAATCGATGCCACATCGAGTTGCTGCACTTTGCCGGGCTAGAAGGGGTCCTACATGATACTAGGTACCTATCCCATGACTTTCGACACTTCAGTGTAATGTACTACAACTAAACGAACTGTATTACCAGTTAACAAAAGATGAAACTCAATTGACCACAGCACCAGCAGACGTCAAGGACGACATCTGGTCTTTCTTAGTGACAAGCAAGCTACATGTCACTTGAAGACCCAGAACAGAACAGGAAGTATCCCGCTGCATTTTCTGGGACTCTTTGAAAATTTGAGACTTGACAGATATGATTCGCAATAATTTTTGGAGGGGCATACCAAGCGATCGTTAGTGTACCTTCATTTATTTGAGAGTTGTGAGAAGGACCATCTTGTACTTAGACCCAAATTTAGATGAATCTTGTTAGGGATTGGCTGAATGTAAATGAGCGTAACACCCCAATTTTTGGTATAGCCAATCGTAAGAATTCAGAGAGGAAACTGGGCGTTTTCAGAACCGTCAAGACTTCTGCCTCTCCGGAGGAGTCAGTCATCTTAGAGAGTAACTGGAGTAGCATTGCGACATTCGGACTTCCCGGATGTTAAGTTGGTGTTGGCCAAGTCCGGTACACAAATTCAACAGTGCTACAGCCTTGTAACAGGTACTTCTCATTTACATCTGCAAATAAAGAGCAACAGTGTTGAGTGAAGTGTGTGTTTTAAGTGTTCTCTATCTCCCAGTTTGAGCAAGGCCCAGCAGTCGCCCTGAGACAGAATCTTGTCCTACCCACTGAGCAGACAAAATTCCAAATGCCCACCTATCCACATTCCCCCCTTTGTTTTCCCCATTCCAAATTCGTGGATTGCATCAAAGTCCACTGGTGCCCATACAAATTCAAATTCAGAGTAATCCCACACCCTACCCTGAACCAGACAGCAACGAGGAAGCGGCGGATGAAAGTGGAAGCAACTAAGAGGACAGCTATAAGAGGAGCCCAACGTAAGGGCCAACGATGGTTAAAGAAAGTGGAGCCCAACATAAGGGCAACAAGAAGAAGGGGCAGTTAGAGAAAATGGTATACTGGTAGATTACACCAACAGTTAGTGAAAACTTGCAATAATTAATATAAGTATGAAAATGAGATTTGAAGAGGAGGGAAAAAACAAGCACAATAATTGTTAAGTTTCTTTTTGTTAGGCATAATGTGATTAACAACGACTTACAGTTTCAGCTGAATTTGACCATACAGATCATTACAGTGTTGACTGTGTACCAAAATTGTTCATTACAGTACAACTTATACTTTAACAGAAAACTTTTACTGTAATTTCAAATACATGCCTACAACTGATACATACATCATATTCACTTTCAGCAAGGTTTTCACTGTTGATCCTAGTGTGTCCACACACAAAGTCCTCAAACTGCTGCTCTTTTCTGCTTGATAGAGAAGGCATGAACAGAGTTGTGATGTCGGTGAGAGGGAAATCCAGAGGTGATGTCAGGTAGTGACTTTGGTTCTGGATGCGCATTACCCATGACATGTCACCTATGTGATAAAAATATACATATAATACAGATACAGTAGTGACTATCAGAATGTGCATAAAGCATAATGTGTTGAACAAACATCTGTTTATTAACCTATTTTCTTTACAGTGTAAGGAAATATGGGTGTTTAGTGTTATGACTGAAATGTGTGGATATGTGAATGTATCTGTCCCTCCTAAGAGTGTTCATAGCAACAGATGAATATTTATGAGACTTTGTGTGATATCATGCCATTGGATGCCACCCCACCTTAGAAATATTTACTCTGTACCATCAATAACGTTATTATGATGATAACATGTATACTTCTGAGATGGAACAGCGAATGAATACATGGATTCATGGACTTTGAAACAATGTGGTCAACAGTTAAGGAAACTTGGCAACAATGCACAATAGAAAGAACGTTTCTCCCATAGTGCAGCTGTTACTGCCAATAGCAGAATGAGTCATTAGTGCTGATAAACACATGACCTCAGCAGGTCTAATTTTGTCACTGCAGTAAGTCACATTAACGGTCAGTTTTTGTTAGAGGTGTCAATAGGTGTTGACAATTACACTGAAAGGAACAGCGTGTGTTCATTGTTGAAACTTTTGCAAGGAAAAAACTTACAGAAAAATGTATCCATAATTTTTGTCATATATATCTTGACTAATCAATTCCCACAAAGTCATGTGTATCGAAGATTGTAAAAAAGTGGCAGGCCACAGGTTCAGTGTGTGACATAAAGAAGCAATCGAAGAGGATTGTGCTGACCGAAGAAAAGGTTCGGGATATTGAGGCACGACTACAGATCAGTCCTCAAAAATTGTTAAGTCATTTAGTGCAGGAAACCAGCGTTTTGCTAGGATCTGCTTTCACAGCCACAAAATTAATCAAATTTCACCTGTATAAAATAACAATTGTGCATGAGCTGAAGCAACCAGAATATGCAGCAAGAATTTGTTTTTGCAACTGGCTGCTGCAAAATGTGCATGATGGAATTGTGGATTCACAGCTTCTGTTCATGACTGATGAAACGTGATTTCACGTTAGAGGCCATGTCAATGCACAAAGTGTAAGAATATGGAGAGATGAAAATCCTCACGTTATACAGCAAGTGCCATTGCATAGCGAAAAGGTGGGGGTGTGGTGTGCTGTAAGTCCGTGGTCAATCACTGGCCCCTTATTTTTCCACGAAACTGTGAACCCTGAACACTGCGTTAATGATATACTTAATCCATTCTTCAATCAGATGACTGCTGAAGAAAGACAATATGGGTATTTTCAGCAATAAAACGCTACAGCACATATGGCTAATGCAAGCATGGTCACAATACGGGAAGTGTTTGAAAACAGAATAATCAGCAGAGGACTGTGGCCTCCCAGATCCCCAGATCAGTTTTTGCGATTTTTATCTCTGGAGAAACCTGAAGGGAAAAGTCTACAAGAATAATGCTTGCAGCACTAAAGCTCTGAAGAATGAAATAACATGCCGCTTTTTTATAAGCTTGGATACACATGACTTTGTGGGAACTGGTGAGTAAAGATATTTACCACGAAACTTATGGTACATTTTCTGTAAGATTTTTCCTTGCAAAAGTTTCGACACAATACACACACTGTTCAATAGTGAATTTCATTTCAGCATAAATGTTGACTACTTATCGACACCTCTAACAAAGCTCATTAATGCAACTTACTGCAGTGACAAGACCACCTGACGGTGCATGTTCCTCAGCACCGATGACTCATTGTGCTATTGGCAGTTACAACAGCACTCTGGGAGAAATGTTTTTTCCACTGTGTGCTGCTCCCAAGTTTCCTCGGTGACTGAATGCCCTGTATAACAGCAGATCTTTGACAACATGCAACTTTTGTTAAGGAAGCTGGATTTGGCTGTCTTTCAGGCCATCTGGCGGCAATATCCGGTCTTACTACCGTGATGTATGCTCCAGTGTCCACTGTCACCTGGCACAGCTTATCACTGACCCATCCCTTTGTGACCAGACTGGTGTTGGCTTTTTCCGTGATGTCTATGAGTGCGTAGTGTGGGGGCCTTAGTGCCGGTGTTCGCCCTTTTCTGCCGGCTGTCGCTCGTTTCCCAATGGTTGGGTACCCTTCCTGTTCGTGTGTTCGTTGTGGCTTCTTGGCAATTACCATGTGTATCTGCCTAGCCCATCTTCCTGTTCTCGGTGCATTTCATTAGTAGCCTTCCTTTCGTAGGGACCGTTATTCCTGAAGTGGCCCAGTTCTCCACAGCTCCTGCACCCTGATTGTCTTCTGTCTCTTCATTGTGTGGGGGGTGATTGGTATTTGCGGTATATCTTGGTGCTATGTCCGTGAGGTCTGGCTGCTACCAGTACCACCTGCAGCTCTAATGCTTGTCGGAGAGCCTCGTTTATGGTCTTCTCGCCTCCCAGCAGCAGCTGAATCTTTATATTGGCATCTCGTATTCCTTATATGAAGGCATTTCCTGCCTCTCTTCCTATGTGGTCAGCAGGTAGATTGGGGTAGGCACGAAGGGCAAGCAGTTCAATGGCAGTGGCAAAGTCTTGCAGGGATTCTCCAGGTTTCTGTGTCCTTGTTCTTAACTGGCAGTGGTAAGCCACTGCAAAGTGTTGGTCCCCAAAACGGTCCTCCAGTGCCCGAAGTGTTTCCTGGTAAGTGGTATTTGTCGAAATGGTGGGCAAAACTTCTGACGCCCAGCCCTTCAGAGCGGTGATCAGGTATGTTGATTTTTCCCTGTCCGGCCATTGGTTGTGTTCCGCTACGGTCTCGAACTGTCGCCAGAACACACTCCACGTTGAATTGCCGTTAAATGTCGGTGGGTGGGCGCTGACCGTGGGTGTGATTCCCCGCTTGGGCCTTGTCTGTACTACTTCCAACTGGGCCTGGAAATCGCGTTTGGTTTTTTCAATTGCTGCAAAGGTTTTCGTTAGTTCTTCCTGGAGATTTCGTTTGTCGTGTTCAACGATCGCCAAAATGTTTTCAACTCTATGTTGGAGTTTATCATCCAACTCTGACCGCATAGATCGCATTTCGGCCTTCAATTCTTCCTTGTTGGCTGCCGCCTTTTCTTGGTAGGCGTCTAATTTTGTCAGCATGATGTCGGTTTTTTTTGGTTGACGTCTAATTACGCCAGGAAATCCTCTTTGTCAGTTTTCCTATCGGCATCTAGTTTTGCTACCATGATATTTGCTTTTTCTTGATTAAATTCTAATTTCACCAGGAAATCCTCTCTGTCTGTTTTCCTATTGGCGTCCAATTTCGCCACTAGGCGTTCGAACAATTTTTCCATATCTTGTTTCTCCATTTTGCAGCAGTATAATTCGTTGAGGCATGTTCAAGTTCGTATCCCACTTCTGACACCAATTGTAACGTATTTAGTCACTGAAGATGCCATTCGGATTGTTAATTGGTTTATTTAACAACCTACAAGTTAATTACAATTAATTACAACAATGTTACAGGTTTACACAATTTACAAACCCTACACACAAATCAATTCACTCTGTCACGATTCACTCGTTACAATTCAATTCAACTCATAACTCGCCGCTGGCTAGATTCCATCTCAACTGTCTTCGTAGACAGTGTACGTAGCTCTCTTATATAGTTGCAGTGCCCGCCTGTTATGCAATGGGTACTGCTGTTGCCTGTTACCTGTGTCACAGCTGCATTGCATGTTACATCACCGTGGGGAGAGGGGCAGGGTATTGACTCGCCTATTACCATAGTAACAACAGCGCTACGATGCCGCCACGTACCGCTGGGGAGGGAGGGGTCCTCCGTTGCGCAACACGTCACAATATTAAGCATTTTATTTGATGAGCCAAAGCCTCTACAAAAATATTCATTTTTTACATTTTTATGGAATATTAACAAAAGTACGGAAAAAAGCACCATAAAAATGTAGTTAGTCAAGATGAGTATCAAACTAGGAAAGAAGATACTGGTGAAACATTCTTAAATGAACAACAGCAGGTATTTCTCAATGTAACCTTCTCTTCATTTTGTCACAAACAGGCTTGTCATTCCGACTTGTTGAACTTATTCCCAAGTACCTGAACTTTGCCATACCTTCAAAGGGTTTACGAGGTGTTCTTTTATTATGATTCTGTTCTTTGTTCTGGTGATAATACAGGAACACATATTCTTTCTCCTTTCTAAGAGGGGGGGTCCACTTACTATACATCATCTCCTTTATCAGCTACTATTACAACAGATACACAGAGATTTCAATTTCTGTTAAGGTATTACAGAGGATGAAAAACTGCAAATTTTGATAGGTAGGTCCTTTACTATCTCAAAGTTTTCTTATTCTGTTTAAGCAGATTCTTACCTGTTGGTCGTCGTACATAAATCTCTGCCCATCCTTGGCACCAACATGCACAGAACTGCTTCTCTTGATGTTCTGGCTCCTTTGAGCCTGCAAAAGAAGAATTTGAATGAAGATCTATATAAATGTACATAAAAAAGTGTGAGAAGGGTCACTGTCCTCACATACTCTTCGTAAATTTCAGAATATTCTGAATGTTAGGAAAATTGACTTATTTATGGTTTATTTAATGATGCTGTCAGAAGCGCAGACTTATGGTGTGAAATGGTAGGGCGATTGGTGAATGATGAATTGGAAATAATATGAATAGAAGTGGTCATGGCCTAATTTGAAGTACTATCTGGAAGTACTATTTGCCTGGAAGGACTGAGGAAAACCATGACAAAACTGCAGTTGGTATAGTTGGTGTCTGGGGCAAGATTCAAACCTGGCAACTCTGGAATACAATTCAGAAGGATTACTGCTTGAGCCAACTTCCTCAGTAAGAGTTGGAAACATGACTTTAGTACATTTAAACACTCCTTTAGTCAATTCATGTAGGAAGTTTGATACACATTGATATACCATTAAAACCAGAATAAAGTTTGAAATTTCCATAGAAAAAAGTAAAATGATATAATTGCAAAGACATCAATCTAAGTCTAGTTGAATTAATACACACAGGCAATGGGGAATAGCACTCAGAGAATAATAAATTCATAATTTCCATGTAGTATTTGGTACAATAGGCCAGAAGTGGCCCTAGTACAAGGGACATGGTCCCGCCCCCTAGCAATTAAAAAAATCCATTAGGATAAATAATAAATATTACAACAATGACAAGGATTTACCTATTTATATGATTCTTGCTGGAAATGTTTCATACTCAGAAAGTAAACTGCTTCACATTTCTACTGGCTCTAGCAATCCAACCATCTCATTTAACTCCAATTTATTATTCAAAGTTTCATGACTACAGACATTACAATGTATGAATGCCAAAAACATTTACATTCTTGGACATTAGAAGAAGTAGAAGATGAAGAAAAAGCAGCAGAAGAGGAGGTGGAAGTGTGAGTGCATGTACATACATGTGTGTGTGTGCATGTGCACATGCATGTATTCATGCACAGGTGTGTGTATACACAATGCACCTTTTCACTTTCTTATCTGTGTCATATGTATGAGAATGATTGAGAAAATTGTAATCTCAAGATTCTGACAGATTTACATGTTTCAACCCCCTAAATATGACTAAGTGACTCCCAAAATGTCATCTCTCTATATGCATGCCTGTTATATATGAGTACGTACGAATGTGTACCTCACTAGTGCCTGAATAGTTAGATGGGTTTTATTCATGTTAAGTACTTATCCGGGTCAGTGCCCTGTGAATCTGAACATTCTAGCTCCAAGAATAGGCCCTCTTCAGATATGCCACAAAACATAAAATGGCAATTTTATTGAAAACAGCTGCACAGATTCTGAACACATTTTAGTAATTTATGGAGACCATATCCCTAAACACAACTTCAAGAAAATAACAGTTAAATGCACCAGTTTTACCAGTCAGATGGATTTCACTGTTGTTCTGTATTCAGCAACCAACAGTAATTTACTGAGCAACAATCAGTTTAGCATCCAAGGTTACACAGTCAAGGTCAATTCTTCTGCTGGTATACATGATTTATTTGCTGATACATCATCATCATCATCNNNNAGGGGGGGGGGAAGAGAGAGAATTATTTATATGATCAGGCTTCCCACAAACTGAAACAGTAACCAGCACCTTCATTCATACATAAACCAACAGGATGTTGCACCAAGGTCTGCAAGTTGCTAAATAAATGTATACACACCAAACAGGAGTTGATCCAGCTTATATGGCTCTGGTTCATGAGCCTCCTGCAGACCAAAAGCCTTTTTTCCATCATCACTTGGGGAGTTGGTTGCTGTGGCAGCAGCTGTTGCTGGAGTGGAGAAGCTTGTAGTAGCTGAACTGGTTACAATTTGTACAGGATTCCGTGTCAATGGGGGAGGTGGCTCTGCTGAAAACTGTTGGCTCAGTCGAGTTGTGAGCATGTTCAGGTCATCTTTGCTTGTGTTTACGGCCAATGGTGTCACCTTAAAAAGACACAGTAGGTCAATAATGGTAATGGTGATTGTAGTGGTATCAAACACTGGTTAAGGCGGTTGTTGTTGTGTTGGTGTTGGTTGAAGAACACTAATGCAGAAGTGTCTGTTTAAATGCTATCTGTAATTTGTGGTTTATTTAATGATGCTGTTTGTAGCTCACATTATGGAGCATGTAATGACTGGATGAGCATGAATAATGAGTTGGAAAGAATGTGGGAGGAAGCAGTCATGGTCTAATTTGAGGATGCTGTCCCAGGATTTTCCTGGAGGGACTGAGGAAAACCACAAAGAACTGCAGTCAAGACAACTACTGTCCCAGCTAACATCGGAAACAAGTACCTCCAAAATACAAATCAGAAGCATTACCACTTCACCTACTTTGCTTGGTTTAAACGCTATCATGATATTCTTTATAATGCAGAACAATTACTTACATCGCTGCTTACACTACGCTGCACAGCAGATTTGTGACGGCGTCGAGAAGCGTGTACATCCTGATCAGTGCTACTCTCAGGTGATATGAGTTCTAGAAGAAGTACAAGAACATCTGCTAATACAAGAAGCAAGTCCAACTTACAATGTAAATGTAAGAGATAAAGATGAACTAGAGTATGAACAAATTTTAATTTTTTTTCTGTAGCTTTTATTTCTTATCCACAACTTACTACATCCCTGTCAGTGGTGGATCAAACAGTGTAGATTTTCATACAATTTTATAACTTCAAGGAAATTATTCATGTTTGTTTGTTATGAAATGAAAAGGTATCAACTGCCAGCTTATGTACATCAAATGAGATAAAATTATGATAGGGTATCACGAAATGCAAAGGGCTGGGAAAGAGCAGTTGAGGCAAATTTAAGGGTACTATCACAGTGACAGCTTAAAATAAGAGAAAAATTTTGGTAACTGGTGCCCAATTCAAGGTTTAAATTCAGAAATTCAAGAATGCGTATCCAGCCAGCTTGGTATTTGAAGCATACAAACATGTTACCATTAAGCAACTCCCTTGTGGTACTGCAGTGTTATCATGGTAAGTGATTTTGTGAGCAGTGAAATCCTCAGGGCTATGCTGGTACCAATATAACAACTTACAGAGTCTTCCTGGTCAGGCAGTTGGAAGAGAAGGTGTCAGACAATGTGAAACATCCTGGTCCTCCAGGCTGAGGATTGTATGGGTAGCCTGGTATCTTCCCCACTTAAAAGAGTTTGAGAACTCAAACACTTACTTCATACATATAAGCCAGGTGGAAAAGCTGGTAACAGACTCTACAGTATAAACCATAAGGACACCAACAAAAAGAGAGACTTTGGAAAATGTGGAATGTATATGTGAAATCAGGAAAAGTTTGAACGCCTATACCATGAAATGTTGAAGTAATTGAATTAATTTTTTTACAGACGGGTATGAACTAAGGCAAAAAAGTAACATCTCTTTATCAACTGAAGTCCCACTAAGCACCAAGCGTGCTTCCAATCACTATGTAGCAATAAACGAAATGTACAAGAAATCATCCTTTGTAAGAATGATGGAAGCTAAAGAATTACAAATTGTGATGAGACGATAATGTTGTAACAACTTAATGCCTTTACATATTCTGGATGTAAACTATCTTATGAAAAAGAATAAGATCTGAATTTAAAATAGCCATTTCATGAAAATACTGGCTATCAGACATGATTAGTAACAAACGAATTTAGATAATGCTGTAACAACTTAATGCCTTTACATATTCTGGATGTAACTATCTTATGAAAAAGAATAAGATCTGAATTTAAAATAGCCATTTCATGAAAATACTGGCTATCAGACATGATTAGTAACAAACAAATTTAGTTAAGCAACAATATCATATGCTAGCAAGGAATCAATAAGAAGGACTTATCATAGATAATTCTATCCACTGAAATGCAATTCATAAGATAAACACCAGACTGCGCATTCTTGGACATCACAAAATCCAATGAAATAAATTTCACTAGTAACAGACCATATACAATTCAATAAGAAAAATCAGAAAGAACATGTTTACAGAATAAAATCTGAAGAGATATTACCAAAAATTATCAATACCAGGAGGCAGAAGACAATTTAACAACACAACTAGTCACACTACTTTATACTGACACTCCCTTTGCTTCAAATTCCGTTATTCCAAAGAAATTTCATCTTCCCTGTGGCCCAATTTTTTACAATTTCTTGCAGCTATAATAATTTTATAGCATGTACATGAAAATAAAGTATTCTATTCTCCATTGACATTAATTATTTTCCTCAAAGTGACAGTGCCAGTTTGTATACTCTCACCTTTGTCTGGTCTGCACAATAGCCAGCACTTATCACACAACCCATTCTTGAGGGCTTTCATGCTGCAACCACTAGTTGTGACCTTAATAAGCTTGTTGCCTAGCAGCCAGGTCATGGATTGGCCTCCACTCAGTAAGAAGTCAGCTGTGGGAAGCCTACAAACATAAGCAGCTCATTAAGGTCATGAATTTTCAACATTTATAAGGGCAGAAAGGCGTGCTTTAAAGGACCACATACATACTGCATATGTGACTGGTATCAATACTCATGTACTGCAGATGAAAACTAACTGTACTACAAATACCATACTGCAGCATTGAAAATTTTTTTCTTCATATTTTGCCAAATATCCAATCTATCAAAAAATGTTATTAGCCAGAAGGACTTAATGGAAGAGAATATTTCCATATACAGTCTTTCTTAAAGGGCCAAATATCTTTAGAGCTTGGTAAGAAGGGCAAGTACAAATTATTTTTTACTTAGAGCCTTCTTACTGACTACCACAGATATCTTCTGTGCATTACATTGTGACATGTTGCGCAACGGAGAACCCCTCCCTACCCAGCAGTAACGTGGCAATTCACGCCACAGTGACGTGGCGGATGAGTCAGCGCTTCCCTCCCCCCCTCCGCACGGTAACGTAACGCGCGATGATGAGAGACGGCGTGAGGTAACAGCGTTGCTACGTAACAGGCACACACGGCCACTATATAAAAGAGCTGCGCTGCCTGCGAGAGTTGTAATGTGGCAGTCGCCGAGTTCAGTAGTAGTCGAGCGAGTGTGTTATCAACAGTTCTCCAGTCAGCAGACTACAGTTGGAGTATAGCAGCCGTCGCGGAAAGAAGAACCAGACACGTGTGTAATTGTGTAATTGGGAGTGTGTGATACAGTGATACATAGCTCCCCTACTGTAAACGTGTAGACTACTGAAGACAGAGTGAAGTGATTTGCGAATAGGGTTATAAATCGTGAAACCCCGGAAACAGTGTAAACAGATTATTGCGATTAGGGTTCTAAAGTGTGAAACCCCACAACTGTGTGATAAATAATTGTAGCCGTTACTTGTAGGTTGTTAAATAAACCAATTAACAATCCGAACGGCGTCTTCAGTGACAAAACACGTTACAATATGTATATTGTGATGTGATGCCTTAGAGCTGCAATAGTCCATTGCTAGACAATAGCTTTGTAATCATGTTTCTGTGGCAAAGAATATTGACAAAGACTAGTTTCCATGACAACAAATAGCAGTGAATGCATCGTTACCTACTGTAAACATGTTCCCATGACAACGCATACTTAAACACACAGTTAACAATGTATACGAGGAACTGAACCATTCAATTAGGTATTACCTGTAGGAGGTGGGTTTGAATACCTCCACCGTGACCCTGCGAGTTATAGGAGGTGACAAAAAGGGAAGTCTCAAATTTGAGACAGTAAAATATGGTCATAAGTCCTTAGGGACTTGGACCTGAGAAAGACTGTGCTGGCAATTGCCAGCAGCATATAGAAAAGACAGACTCATCCTCTAGTCAGAAAGAGCACCCCATGAAAACAAGACCATAACTGTCAAACAGTAATAAATATCTGGTCATGAGCCCCACCAAGACTTACTGACTGACTGACTGTCAGTTGCAATGTGACTTTGACTTTGATAATTTGGTGTGCTTTACATGGTCAGCCGCTGAAGATAACAAAACATGAAGAATTTGCCAGACAAGGAAGTAAATGTGAAGTGAGTAATATAAGATTCAGAGTGAGAAGTGTTTAGTGTGCTTTCAGGAGACAGACATTGTTCAAGCAAGTGTAACAAGTGTAAGAGAGTAAGAAATCAAGAGACTACAAATTCTTCAAGATCCATCTTGTTACCAAGCAAGCATGTGTTGAAGACTTGGTTTTGTGTTTTATTGTTAAAGTTACCTGAGAGTGTTATAATTAATTTTAGTTACAACTGAGGAATATCCAATAAATCGGTTCACCAATCTAAATCCCACCTACAAGTCACTAATACAAGTGATAATATGTTTATAAGGGTTACATAAGGCACAGCATCCCTGAATTTATTTTTGTGTGAGCTTCAATATGAGTCTCACTTCATCTCAATTTTTTTTAGCAATGAGTAGTTGTATTAATGGTGTTCATTCTGCACTATGAATTCAAATCATACATAAGATGCGATGAAATGGAAACTATATGATCACTTCAATTACCATAAGCCAACCTTTCAAACAATTTGTCAGGTGTGTTAGTTGTGATGTAATGATCAAGCCTCTTTTCTTATTCAGGAGCATGCTGGTTTAAATCTTGGACAGAAACCAACTACCACAACTAAGACTGTTCTTGGTTTTCTATGTTCAACTATTGAAATAAAGGTTCTCGCTACTTCCTCCCAAATCCTTTACAACATACTGTTCATAATCATCATCATCATCATCATCATCATCATCATTCTTCACCCACTGTTACATAACCTTTGCAACCATCACGGATCATGGCCTGAATTAATCTACTATCCCAAAATTTGCACAAAGGTTAGGCAGGAGTGCAATGTAAAATTTCACTTGGGTGTCCTGAAATTTGATGGGAACAAAAGAAGCTCACCACAAGTATAGACCTTAACCTTCCTTACTTGAAGCTCTTACAACCTGTACGAAATACTTACCTCTTTGGTACTACTGAACATGTAGAAAAGGTGTATCTTGCCATGAGGTCGATACATGTCTCTGTAAGTTCTACATGGAATGTCATCAATGCTTCATCAATAGGGGGTTTCAGATCCACAGCTCCACGGGTATCAATTCGTCCTCCCCCTCCTACTGTTCTCACACTTCGGCGGCTACCCTGCTCCGTCAGGCTTGAGCTGCGTTTTCGATTTGATGAATCTTCATTTATTAGATCCATCTTCATAATTTGGCCCTCTTCAAAAGGAACAAGGACATTCGCTTTCAAACCCTAGAAATATTAAAAGGATTTTGATACCAGATAAGCACGACTGAGCTATGGAATATACTCTTTTAACCCTTCCCATATAACAAAGATTTGTCCAAATTTGTAATCCTGTTCATTTTTTCTTAAAAAAATTTCAAATGTTGAGCTCACTCTATCAGTCAAAGGCAGTAAAACAGCTATTCCTGCGCTGGGATTATTCATAGGTACTAAAAGGAGAACAATGCACACGAAAGGCAGAATGCAGAATATATCATCCATGACATGTAAAGTAAAAGTAAAACTATCCCTGTAACAGGCCGTGAAGGCCCATAGGGTTGCGAGACATTGAGGGTCCAACATTCTCTAGACAATCAGTTCAAAGATGGCGGTAAGGTTGCCAGCCTTACACGGCGGCCGCGCTTTACTCCCCAGGAAAATTATTTATTTAATTCCTGGTACTCATTTCTGTTAGAGGCTGAGTCAACCCTAGGGCCATAGTGAGGCTGGAAGGATTAGGTAAATTGAAAAAAAGCCAATGACCTCATCGGGACTTGAACCCGCGACTTTCCAGCTTGTAGCATAGCCCCTCAACAAACTATGCTACCGCATGCCCCTGCATGACATGGGAAGGATTAAAAAATTAATTTACTATGTTGTTCTGATTTAAGACACTACGTAGTTTTGTGGGTGGATACTGATATTTCAGAGGAACATACTGCCACCACCTTCATAGCTGAAGTGTGCAGGTCAAGGAATAACTAACCAGGAAGCACTGATGGTGTCAGACATCATGGTGATCAACTTCTTCTGCTACTTTGGGGTCCTGAGGGAACTGTATAGTGACCTAGGCTGGATACTTGAGTCATGACTCCTGTAGATGTTATGGTGCCTTGTGGTCTGCAAGATGCACACTACCCCTCTGTATCCTCAGATGGACGGCATAGTGCAATTTTGAATGAAGACAACAGATAAGTACTTGAGGAAGGATGTTTCAGCACAACAGAGAGATTGGGGCAAGAAGCCACTCTTCTTCCTCCTGGTCTACAGTGTGTCAAACACAAGACTACAGGTACGATGCCAGCCAGCGTGGTGTTCAGGAGGGATCTATGTCTGCTTTGCAATCCAAGGTTTGGAGCACCCCCACAGCAAGACACAACCCATGACAGACTACCTGAGAGACCTCATGGAACAGCTGCATGAAATTGATCACTATGCTGGCCAATATCTGAAGGTGGCAACAGGATGAATGCCTGCTATGATTGCCCAGTCAACTCAGCTGGATTCAAGGAAATATACCAGGTCTGGATGTACTGCTGGAACAGAGGGAACATGCCTAAGCTGCAACCATCCTGGGAAGGCATTCACCCAGATCAATTATGACGTCTACAAAATCCAGCATCATTCCAGGATGAAGACAGTGGTGGTTCACCTGGACAGACTGGCCCCATACCTGGGGGTCACTTGAGACCACCAGCCTTGAGGAAAGAACAGTGTCACATAAAGCATGTGTGGAGTGGGCATTGCATATACCCTTCTTTCATGGCATTTTGCAACTTGACCCTCCCTCCCTTCAGATTAGTTAGTTAGTTAGTTAGGTGGTTAGTTATTGGAGTGGGTGGGTTTCCCCATGCACTGCGACCAGGTTGATCTATTGTGCTTCCCTCTATGATATTCTACCAGTCTCTATACCCTACCAATACTGGTGCTTTACCATCAGTCCCGACCGAGCCAGCGAGTTCGGCCTCTACTGGCTTGGCGGCATCTATAATGCTTCCCCCATCTATCAGAGGCATTAGAGACTACGGTTGGGCGGGAAACGTCCTTGAATTTGGCTCAGTGACCTCCTTAGGAGATATGAGGTTCTTTTATGTGCCGTAAAGCTACGACACGGGACCCACAGCTTAAAGTCCCTCCCGGAGGACTTGTTCCCTGAATTTTTCCGCCCTTAAAAAATCCATGACCTCCGCTGGGTTTGAACCCCCGTACCGCGAGTCATGAGGTGGGAACGTTACCTCTAGACTATGGAGGCTGCTCCCTTCAGATTATAAATTTTCTGAGAGCCAGCAAGCACAACCAAAGATGAATGGGAACCCACAAGAAGCTTCTAAAATGACTCTGCTGCATAAAAGTCAGTGAGAAGTTTTCAGCAGTCCTGGTATTTCTGTGAACTTAAAAGCAGCATATAGCAGTCAAGTGTGAAGAACCATGAATGAAGATGGAAGTGCTGTGACTTGGTTCACTTGTTAGTTCAGTATAAGACACAGGAAGAGGACATCATGACGCTATATGGCGAAACAGTAGTCATCAAAAAAAGTTATTATATGATCCTGTGTGGCTATTGGCGGTAAGACAGTAACTATTTTGAAACAAGATAAACATTACAGCACACATATGTAATCATGCATGCATGCGCACACACAATACAATTTTTATTCCAGTCTGACTCATCTGACATCTGGAAAAATGAAAATCAGAACTGATATGGAATGCCACAGGACCAGTTACCACAGAACAAATAACAGAAATGAGACAATATTCAGTTAGGGCAAGAGATGACTTGATCTAATGGCCTGGAGAGACAAACATCACATACACATACCAACTAACATTCATGATCCCTGAGCAAATTGTAAGTTTTGTGTTGACCATGGAAATGGTATAAAACTAACACTTACAAAGAACTACAACCACTATATGGCATCCTCTGACAAATATGAGAAAATTGTGATCAGTTACTTGATACAATGTAGACATGAAAGTGGAAATAAAACTACTTTCACCTGTTACACTTGACATTTCTGAGCTGCTTCCTTCCCTTCACATCATGATGTGTTAAATAAAAGCAGACATGAACAAAACAGATCCCAGTGACATTCTTCCTTATAATTTGCCTATATAACTAAATAATCAACTCCATGGAGCTGTCCTTGACAAGCCAGTAAACAATCCTATATAACTGGGATATTTCCTCAACCTATACAGTTCAAGCCTGACGATGAAGACATGATGTTCCTTCATAAAAACATCTGCTTATGAGACTATACAGTATTACAACCCACAATCTGAAGGGAAAGAACACTTACTAGGTCATGTTTCTTACTGCTCACAGCACAGTAAATGATGAAAATACTTTATGCATTACTAGGTCAGACAAATGTACTGTTTAAAAACCAGGATATAGTTCAAAACGGTTTTTAAGGTTAAGTAAGTGCTTGGTGGGAGTGTGTTTGTAACTGATTATAAAATACACAATACAGTATGTAACTAAGCAATTTTATGCCCAAGAAATAATGATGCTGGCTATATCAATGAAGGAGTTGTTAAGGATACTGATAGTCAGGGTTTTTTTTTAATGCTAGTGGGGTGGGACTAAGTCCCTTGTACTGCAGCCACTTCTGGCCTATTGTACCAGCCCCAGATGATAGGTGAGGGTGATTGTGGAGCAATTGGTGGAATGAAGATTGGCAGGGGAAACCAAAGTACTCAGAGAAAACCTGCCCCAGGGTCACTTTGTCCACCACAAATCGCACTTGATCAGACTCGGGCTCGAACACGGGACGCTGCGGTGGGAAGCCAGCGAATAACCGTTTGAGCTATGGTGCAGCCAGACAGTGAGGTTAAAACTGATCTAATTTTGGACTATACGGACTAAAGATGGTAAAAGATAACAATTCCCAGTGTAGTTTCAAGTCATATCTAATATAGTCCAGTTTAGTTCCTAGTATTATCAGGGTAAAGATGCTATTGTAAATAGACCACAGACGAACAAATGTATTTTACTGCTGAACATGCTTCAACTTAATAGAAGGCATACAAGTACACTGACAGAGTTTACTCAACTATGTCATATAACCTGCATAAAATGTTGTGAATTCAAGTAGACATTACATTAATGGTGTTTCTGTCATAAAGTATACACATGCTGGCTGGGTTTATTTCTTGGCTTCAGATTAAAGCACATGGATATAATGTTAATAAACTGGTTTAGGCATCTGTTTTGAAGAAAATCTTAGAAATCTTAATACTAACTACACTTCATATCCAAATATTGTATCTACAAAATAAGAACAGATGAAAACAAAAGACTTTTTGTTTTATCTTGTGCTGTTAAATATTTTCATATGGCATGGAAAAAAAAAAAAAGCTCATACATAGTAACATCTGACAATTCATTGCTATGGTGACCTGCATTAATGGTGAATTATTTGTAGCTGTTATAGCCTGGAAGCAAATATTCTGGAGCATGTTACAAGGGCCCATGTTACGTGGGTCCCTTGTCACCATGGCATGGTGCATACTCAGGTAGAGAACGGAGGCGACAGCTTCAAGATATGAAGGGGAGCTGTGAATATACTGAATAAGCAGTCACAGACAGCTGACACGGGGTAGTCATACAGCATACGGTTGGACATGATGCTAACAACTCCTCACCATAAAAAATAATTTTGTTATGAAATGTAACAAGGGTCTCAGACTCAGACCAGAGGAGGGCTCTTGTGAACATTGTAATGAAACTTTGGGTTTCACAGAATTTTGGGAAGTTCCTGAGTAGCTGTGCAACTGGTGTCTTCCAAAGAAGGGCTCAGCTCCATGGAATTAGTTAGTTATGAAGGGATGTGAGATGTAATTTACTTCTGATTTCATCCATTAGTTCTAAAATAAATAAATGCTGCTTCTTGCCATTCATCTTTCCTAGTTAAATATCAACATNATATATATTGTTACACTCGACGGAGGTTCTATTGATAATTGGTGATCAACATTAATATTTGTAACGCCCCTTCCTTTTTATAGTGCAGGAAGAGTAACATATTTTCTTCTCATAGCAGATGGTTGCAAATGCTAACCATGCTAATGATTTGCTCTTAGAAGGTGTTTCTCAGTTCTACAATTGGCTGACAACCTGACACCATCTCAGTGGCACAACATTTTCATTTCCTGCTTACATATGCAACAATATGTGCTTTCTCAAAGCACATCAGAGAGAATGCCTATGAGATTCACATACTTCTACTGATTCAAACTGATACACTGAAGAAAAAATAGCTTCCTGATAGTGCCTATGGGACCTTTTGAGAATAAATATTCGTTTCTGCCATGTCTCAGTGCCATAAGCTTACACATTTATTTTACAATCTGAGCCAAAGGTTGCTTTAAGTACTGATAATCCTACTACCAAACTGTCATAAAGTCGATACAACAACAAATTCTTGAAATCATTCTCATAACTTAACAATAACTAAAATGACAGAGAATATTCAACTTACTGTTATAATGAACTTGACAAAATCTCGGCGAAATGGCAGTCGGCATTTAAGGAACCAAACAGCTATAACGTGGTGAGCCAGTGACACAGTGTAGTGATTGTATTTAAATGGATTTGTGTATGGGAGAGATATTGCGAACACAGACATATACTGGTCCCCCACAAAGCTGGCAAACACCTTAGGTAACCTGGTGAGCGCTGCAATAAATAAAAGAAAATGGAAATATACAGAAAATTGTGGCTGGCAGTATATCATCAGAATAAAGTTTTATGAAACTTTCCTCCACATCCCTTTCCTNTATATCATCAGAATGAAGTTTTATGAAACTTTCCGAGCCTATAGAAATAATTACATTACACACAAACAACAAATGATTAAAGAAATTCACCAACCACAATCTTTTAGAAAACCACACATTTTTCTGTACCGAAGATATATTTCTAGAAGTCTCAAACATGTTACTGTACAAATAAAATCAGCAGTTTCCTTTCAGTTTAAGCTTACAAATATTTAGAACTTCATTCTGCAACAAAGAGCATTTCTCTCATCTTTAGGCCCAGCTGCCTGATTGGCCATACTGAGAGGGATCTTTTAAAATGCTGCCATGATTGCTGATACAATAGACAAAAAGCAAAACAAGATGTTTGGAGCAGAATCCTTTGTTTTCAAACTCCCCATATATTTGCTAAGATATGCCGGTACACAGAAAATGCAAGAATCATGAGAAAGTCCTATTAAGATGCAACACATCCTGATTATAGGTACTCTAATGAATTAAATAAAAAGTCTTACTACATGTGATGAAAACAGGTATTGTAATGAATATGAGGGGCAGTCAAATGAAAACAGGTCAGAAGCCAAAACATATTAAAGAACATTTCTTACTTCAAAAGTAATCTCCAACACTGTTAATACATTTATCCCACTGGAATATAAGACAGTCAATCCAATCCTTGAAAAAGCTTGTGGGCTGTCTACAGAACCACATCTTTACCCAGCCACGTCTTAATCCGATGCAAACTGATGTCCACGAATGTCTCTCTTCGGGTCTCCAAAAGTGTGAAAATCGGATGAAGAGAGATCTGGGCTGTAGGGGGGATGATGAAACACTTCCCAACCAAATCTCTGTAGCGTATTCCTCACAGAGTTGGCAGCGTGGGGGCGCGCATTATCATGAAGAAGGATAATGCCATTCGATAGCATTCCAGGGCATTTTGACTCTTTATGGCATGTCTCAGTTTCTGCAAAGTGTCTTCATAGCGTTGTGCACTGATTGTGTCTCCATGCTTGAGAAATTGGACAAGCAGAGGGCCCTTGCAGTCGAAGAATGTCATCATCACTTTACTTCAATGGACTACATGGTACTATATACTAGAAGATAGATTTCTTCCTAATAACCACTGTGAGAACCTCAAATCCTACAAAATAAGAATATTTATGTATACTTACTTGACAAGAATTCCAAAATAGGAATTGCAATATGGACTGTGGCAGAGATCTTGGAAAGATTAAGCAGAACTTCAGGAAGTAGCTTGTACATGGCATCCTTCATTTCAAGTGTGCATGTGGTAAGCGCCATCACACATTGGCGTGCACACCGTGACACAAGACCAAATTCCAGGCATTTAATTAGCCGTTGCTGAAGGCTGGGTTCTAGGTATGCATGGTAAGATGCTAGTGATGCCAAAACAGGAAACACATAGCCATGGAACTCTGAACGTGTCAGCTTTGGTGGAGTATTACGAAGGGTGTCAGGCAGCCCCAAGGATTTATCACTAACCTGTAATAACATAAAGGAAATATTTGGTGACCTGTTACAATATCACAATAAACCAACAGTGAAAAGATTCCAGTTTTTTTATGATACTCTGACTCCTACAGAGATTATACAGTAATAAACAACATGGGAAGAACGTGCAATGAAGTGTTCATAGCTGATAGTGTATTTGGTTAAAACAGATGAACACCATGATAAACCCCAGCCAGAACAGTTATCTCCTAGGTGGAGACTAAACCTGTAAGACAATTACTGTAACTATGTAACTAATTTCATGGAGCAGAAACAATTACCATTAAGTGAAAAACAGAGGGTGACTTTTTAGGATGTTTATGGATTGACAAGTCTCTTTCTGGTCTGTTCACATTAGGCATGTGTGAGAATGGCTTCTGCAGTTCAATAAAAACTGAGACAAGAATCTGGAAGAATATTCCGTATCGAGATGAGAACAAGAATTTTCTCTAGTAGATTAATTTTTCCACTGCAATATTTTATAAGAACAGCCACTTTTTAGTGTACAGAATTTATTAGAATGGAAGGTGATTCCAAATGTAAGACAACCCCATGCTACCAAACAATGACTAATGAAATCATAAAGGACTAAGATGACTAAGTGTGTGCTGCAGTTATGTACAGAGCATATAGATTGGTGGTTGTGTTATAATTATTTGTAGTCACAAGTTATAAGTGTTCATTCAGTAAATCCAATTATCAAACCAAACCTCATCTCCAGTCACTATTAAGTGATATCATCTAATTACTTGTCACACCACATAAGCCAGCACTTAAATCATAAAATACATAATCAGACTTACAGAAATAGTCTTACCATAGAGCAAAGTGCAGCTGCCAAATAGTCAATATCATTGCCATGTCGAGATAGGATTAGAGCCTTGTTCTGCATCACTTGAGGAACCTCCTGAAGCATCAGATGCAGAACCTTCCAGTCTAATATGAATAAACACCAACATGATCTTGTGAGACATACAATGCAAGAAGCACTCAAACACACAAGTTTATTAAACAAGGAATTTAAATATCATTTACTGATAATCTACTTGCAAGAGTAATAAAATTTTAATCTCGGAATCACATCAATGAACAGAGCAGAAACTCGGCCTGTGCTGTACACTTCAGCTCATCATTCATAACCACATTTTTCACATTATAATTACATTATATTGTAATGGTATTAAAATCTAGGAGGTTATTAGGTTCGACATGTAGCTTCAAAATATGAAAAAAAGAAATTTGAACAAAATTTTCATGCAGAAACTGCTTGGAATGTGGCCACTTGAAAGTGTGAAGAGATGGGTGGATAACATGAAGATACAGTGACCTTCTGATTATTTGGGTTAATGTAGGGGATTAAGATGCATGAATTGACAACCACGGACAAACTAAGAAATTTTGTTTTGTATTCTTTCAACACGTCATAAATTACTTAAACATTCTTTACATATTAAGTGACTTTTATTTTGACCCGCATTCTGCAATCTGAGTTATTCAGACTTCTCCTGACAGGTTAATTTTTGTTGGGCCTACAATATCACTGTATTCACAACCCTAATGACCCATGTAATCTAGCAAAGTGTCATCACAGTAGTACCTTACATCCACTAGCATAATCATTGTTTTTTTTTTTTTGCTTGCACCCTCCTAATTTTCTTCCTCATACCTTTGTTCTAAGGCACTCTGACTTGGTCTTTGGTTTCATTCTCTGTGGAGGGCCTATAGAATTAGCTTAGTCCAACAGAAATGAGTACCAGGAATTAATTAAATAATTTTCCTGGGGAGTAAAGCGCGGCCGGCGTGTAAGGCTGGCAACCTTACCGCCATCTTTGAGCCGACTGTCTAGATAATGTGGGACCCCCAATGTCTCACAACCCTATGGGCCTTCATGGCCTGTTACAGGGATAGCTTTACTTTTTTTTTTTTTACTTACAATTAATTGATGACTGTGTCTTTTTATGGCATAGCTACTTATCACCAATCTGGATAGCTGAATGGTCACAGACATATATGCTCTTAATATGGACAAACATTGGTGTCACAAGTTCAAATCCATGTAGAACATGGATGTACACCTAGATTTTTTTGTTATTCCACACAGGTAGTGTCTTATATTGGGACAATCTGTTATCAAAGTACACATAAAAAATATTTAAAAGTAAGGGCATAAACTCAATTAAAAAAAATTATTACTAATATCAACTAACTCCATGGGTTCTTTAAGTTTATAGCTACTCATCTGGTCAAGAGGATTCATACTTTGATGGCACCCGAAGGTTCATTACTGTGTTCACAGAAACTGGGTACTAGGCTCTAATCTAAGATACTAGAGTCTAATCCATACATTCACACCCTCTTTCTCTAAGATCCCTTTGAATACTGTCCACTCATCTATGAATGAGTTTCCCATGTGTTCTCTTCACGAGGTATCTGTCAGTCTACAATTACTAATACCGTTCAATTTGTACCATGAATTAAACACAGTCTTGAAAATTCACCTTTTTCTTGCTTGAGACAAGTGATGACAGCTTTACACGCATGGGTGAGAGAAAGGTGAGTGACCACACATGGTAGATATGAAGATGGAGCAGGGCTCATTGGTGGTGGAGATGCACTTCCTCCTGCTCGCTCCCCTTCTTTATGGTCTACTGCAAGATATGGGCTGAAATGCAACACCGATGAATTGGGCTTTGGAATGCCCAAATGATACAGCGAGTTGGCTCGAATCTGCAGTAGGCATTCAAATATCTGAAAATCAGGCAGTCACTTTAAACTTGTTTACACGGGAAGCATCTTCCCGTGGTTATGTTGCCATATCTTAGTAAGAAAGTGAAATTCTGTAGATTTTGTAATAGTAGAAACAGAGATGCTAACCTATCTCTCATATAAACACAACCAAAAAGCATCCTGCAAAATTAAACAAACAGAATGCCTTACTATGGTGGAATTCAATTCAAAAGAGGTATAATACTGCAGCATGTAGACCCATTCCTATGTGGTGATTGTGAGATAGGTGACTGTATAGCAACCACTGCCACACAGCTGCCCACAAACAACAGAGGAATGGTGTTTCCTGTGTGGTCTGTGCCAAGATGTTATACACAGGACAATCAGTAAGAGTTAGTGAAGTGGAGTGAGTTGATTGGTGAGTGAGTTAGAGGGATGATGCAATTCAGTCCTTGTGAGCTGCTGCTGTTAGAAGCTGGTAGCTGAGGATGGGGATAGTTCAGGAACCCAGAGGAAGGGGAATGTCCGCCATTGGAAGCCTTTACCAGAAAACTGGTGAAGACACAGCAGACTGAGAACGTGTAGTACATATTGTAGTGAACTGTAAAGTGTGTGTGAATTAGTGAAATGGGTGTAATTACTTGTAGTTACGATCTGTAAGTGTTCAATAAATCCAATTACCAATCCAAACCCTGTCTATAGTCACTCATATCACATGACAATATTGTGACATGACACCCGAAAGCCAGAATAGTTCATTGCTAGACAATGCTTTGGTAAAAACAGATTCCTGCTGCAACACATACGCTGGTGAAAGTCAAAGCATTGCCATGGATAGACACGTTTCCATGGCAACGAATATTAACAAATGTTATATTTTAGCGTCCTGTTGCACTGATTTAAGTCCATGATTTATTTAATCCGTCTTGCAGTGCATACATTCATTTATCTCCTTCNATAGTGAAGGAGTGCTCCAACAAAGGAGAATGGGCGTGACTGACGTAGTGAGGGGCGACGTAGCGATGTGGTATCCTGAACAATTTTAATATTTTTAACGTTTGACAATGTATATGATAGATACATATTTTAGTTATTTTAATGTGTGAACATGGCATGCAATGAACTGGTTTGACGTGGACAAGTAAGCACCTGAAGATGGCATTATTATGCCGAAACATGTAGTGCGAGGGAAAGAAGGAGATAAATGAATGTATGCACTGCAAGACGGATTAAATAAATCATGGAATATTAACAAAGACACTGATTCTCATGGCAACAGATAACACAGAATAACAGACCATTTGAGATGCCGACCTATATTTGGGCTGCCTGGCAATTCTAAAAGAATCGTAATTCATTCACAGTAGTAATATTGTTGGGGGAGGGGGGATGACTGTGCTGGCAAGGACCAGCAGCAACTGTATATGACAGACCCATCCCCTAGTCAGAGAGGATGTTACATAAGGACTATAACCATACATGTTCAGATTGAAAATAAAAATTCTGATTGTAGGTCTCAAGGGGCTTGTCGCCAAGACAAACTGATTGGCGGTAAATTGCTAGTTGTAAAGTAACTCTGACTCTGCCTGTAGAAGCAATTCATCAGACAGACGTGTTCAAGGCAGTTCAATGTGTCAGCAGAGGTTCGTAATTCATCAGGGTGGAAGAGAATACACATGTGATCCAGCAAGGAATGGAGTGAGTCATAGACAGTCATTGACTGATTGATTGTAAAAGAAGTGCCAATAAATCCAGTAATCTAATCCTGAACCCATTATTATCAATAATGCAAACCATGAATACATGACAATATATACACAGTAAATGAAAACACAGGAAAAACACTGGTTCTAGGTTCCACTGCAACTCCTACTTACTGTGTATCTGATACTGCTAGTATTTTCAAATACAGCAGGTTTTTGGTAATGTAATTCCAAATGATTCACTAATAAGCGGTACGCTTTGATGGCATGGGAAGATGGAAGCTGATATAACTTCTCTTTGAAGATTTTAATGAGTCCTGTCACAACAGTCTTCACATCCAGAACTTCCACCTCATTCACCATTGTAGTTCCATCCACAGTGAACTGCTCGTAAGGTCTATATAAAATCTGTAAAGATATTATAAGTTATAATCTAGAGGAGTGGTTATTTACCTGTTAATCACAGGATGCCCCGAGTAGGTCACAAAGTTAAGGTAAATACTTATAATGTAATGTATTTTTGTGTCTGAAATAACATTTATGTTTTCTGAAAAATAAACTGCTGTTTCAACACATTTTTCTCCTGCTATATGTAATAGAAGGCTAAGTCATGATTTTCATAAGACTCAGCAACAGCATTCGGCTCATTCAGCTATTATTGCAGTAGAGCTGGGAACAATACCCTACATGTCATGTTCTTATGAAGGAAATCAAATTTACACTTTCCTGACCTATTACTTCTTTTATTTTGCATAAAAAATAGAGGCATGCAGGTAGTTAACTTAAGTATAAAATTTAATCCCTTAATACAGTGCTGCCCCAATAACTGCAACAAATATTTCCATCAAGCTTTTAATCACAATCAGGTTAGTAATTTAACACTTAACATATATGTTCTGAAACCTAATGGATCATCACCATTGGCTTGTAACTATGGCATTTGCATCTGATCCATAATCATTCATATTAGTTACAACTGTAACATCATCAGTCTTCACCAAAACACACATTTGAATTGTAAAATTCCTGTTTAAGTACCTGAATATCCAATGTGTTGCGATCACTAACTACAGTAAAATCTTCATTTAGGGTTTTGCCTCGGAGACAAGATTTCTATACATCACATTGAGAACAATTTTAAATTGAGGTTACATGGAATTTCAACAGAGAATGGTACCATATTTACTTTAACGTAACAAACCAATATGAAAGCACTAGTAAAATATGTGGCCATCTGGGGCAGGGGCAGCTCATTCTAGACCACCCTAACCCTTTTGTTAAATTAAAATAAATTTCTGCTGACCTTTTGTCCATATCAAGACATTAATAGGTAATAATCTAAATATGTTATGCAACCATGTAAATAAACTGTGTAATGAATTATGATATTTCTTGTCACATTGTCAGGAAATTTTGTTATTAATTGTGGTGAAGTTCTGAGGAAGTTTATCTGCTCTTTATTTGGGGGAGACTGGGTTGACTTTTTCTTTTGTCGCCTGATACAGCATTTAGGCTTGAACTGGCCATAACAGTACCTGGGGATTTTGTGTCATTAATTATGATGTGTTTTGAGAATGTTGAGCTACTTTTAACTGGGTGAATGGAATTTATTGCCACCTGGGGTGACAATTAGGATTGTGCTGGCCCTTGTCAAGATGATTAGACAACATGTGAACTCCAAGGTCTCCTTGAGTAAACAACAGTGTGTATATGCTGTATTTACCTGAATAGAAGAGAACTCTGAATCTAAAACAACTCTGCACTAAGAAATTTGTCTGTAAAATTCATATAATATATACAACAAAGACACAAATACCTACATCACAAGAGAGAAACAACATCCATCAAATACATTTTACATAGAGAACTGTACTTCCTAAGGCAGAGTCACTAACATACATCAAATAAGGCACAATAAATCACTGTGGTCGCAGTGCAAGAGCCAAGAAGGCCCACCCCTTACACGACATACATCAAATACATTTTTCATAGAGAACTGTACTTCCTAATGCATAGACGCATTAAATGTAAAACTAATGACGTTTGTAAAAACTATTCTAATTTTATGACAAAATGAATCAGTTTTATGAATTAAAAATCATCCTCACAATTTATTATATATGTACTTTTCACAAAATTTTTTGGTCACAAAATTCTGAGGAGGAAAGGGGGAAAACTGCCAGTACTGCACTAGAAAATACAGTGGAACCCCCACTTCATGTTCCTCAGTTTAAGGTGCTCCTCCATTTAATTTTCCATTTTAATGATAAAAAGTCAATAATCTCAGTACTAGATTTCCTCCATTTAAGATTTTCCCCAATTTATTTTTCAGAATCACTGATCCCTAAATAAATCTGAAATGCTTGTAATGTAATAACAATCAATTTTATTTATATCTAAAGATTTTTTTTTGTCACAATGCAAGTAGTACTCTACTGGTAACCTGAAGGTACAGAAGACATTACAGAAACAGAAATCAGCCTCTTGAAATGCATGTTCATTTTTTTTAATAAAGATTAACCAAACCTTTTCAAGGATATCCATGAGCTCAAGACACCTCTTGTTCTCACATTCTACACACAGGTCAACCATCAACTGTGATGCTGCATTTCTCACTATGATATTTGAGTCAATATCAATGTGTTGTAGACTGGGTATTACAATCCTCTCTATCAGATCATCTTCGTATATGGCTCTAGTGGCAGAACACAATACTTCAGTGATAATTTAGAACACGCTACCTGTAAACTTAAAGGATTAAGGAATGGAAGAATACTAACATTTGTATATGCTGATGATAGTAATATATTGGGTGAAAATGAACAGTGTGAATAAAATACAAATTCATGTAAGAGTCATCAAATACAATATAATATATATATATATATATATATATATAAATGAAAAAATAAAAAAAAGGGGAGAGAGTAAACTAGTCACATGAAAGTGCGATTTGCTCAAAATATTCTATGTAAAAAAAACTGACAGTATTATGCCAGCAAATATGACATATATGCATAAATAATCAAATTTCTTTTAAGAGGTTCCTGTATATTACTATGGATATAAACTTCAACGGCAAGATATTTGCAACAGGAAGTTCATTAGCATATATTCCTTATTTGATAGTGTTAATATTGCTCAAGTTACTGGGAGAAGGTGGTTTGAAAACACTGACAAAACTAATGAACACCATATATGAAAGTGGAGAGTGGCCCAAGGACTTTACAGAAGTTACAATGATTGCCTTAAAGAAAAAGACAAAAGCTACAAAATGCAGCGACCATCGCACAATAAGTCTTATTGCACATACAGCAAAGATA